AGAGCTCTGAATCCAAATCTAAGGCATCTTCTGAGGAAATACAGCTCCAGCATGCTCGTTCGGCCTGTGCCTGTGACCAGACAACTGGACACACGGTAGCTCACAGTAGCTGACCAGATGGCTCTGAATCCTAACAGGATCTTAGAATTAAATCCTATGGTAAGTCTCTCTTTATGGGGAGGCATGCCAGTGGAAATGTACTGGTGGTGAATTCAGATTCCAGACCCAAGAACAGGTAAAGCTCAGTGATTTATTTTTTTCATATTTACACAGATTTTTTTAAGAAGCTGATTCTTTTAAACTGACTTGGTTTCTATGGGTTCACACTTCTAAAAGTGGTGACCTGCCACATGAGGAGACTGTTCACAGCTCAGAATCAGAATCAGCTTATAATAATAGAAAGTGAAGAAAAAAATAAGTGGAAACACAAATGAGCTGCTGCTGATGTACCAGAGAATTTAAAAAGAGTGATACTGCTAGTAGCTACTGGGGTGTTGTAAATTGCATTTCCCAATAAGATTTTCACTTGCCTGTCGCATTTTGATTCAGTAATAATACATATAAATTCCCAGATTAAAATCCAAAAATAATTAGTCCTAACAGCAGGTTACATCACCCTGGTATGTTATATCACCCACCCTGACGAGTTGGCACACAGGTTAAGAGTGAGGAGCCGTGCACATCTCCTGTCACTGCACAGCACTCAAGTCCCAGGAGCCACAAACACAGAGGAAGACCTGCTGACCAGGGAAAATCCTCTGAGCCCCTCAGTCTGTCAGCCAGGTCTGCCAGAGATACAGTTTGTGCAGGTGGATAACTTTTCCTCACACACAAACCCTCGACGGCTGGCTCCCCCCCCCGGCACAGACAGACTGACAAAATCCAGTTTATAATAGTGTTGGTGGTAGTCCAGCTCCTGTTGGGAAACCTGTGAAAGCTCCCGTTGAGCAGGATGTTTGTATTTAAGGCACAAAAAGGGAATTTCACAGTCTCACTCAGAGTGGTAAACCCCTCTGGGCCTATCCACGGAGAGGCTGAATCTGGATGCTGCCAGTCTGCCCCCAGGCATGACAGAAAACCACCATGCTTGCTCTACAATGTGGCACATGTTTTAATTGGTGTTGGTTTATAATGGCATGCAAAATTATTGTTCTGATGATTTATTTGGGACATGACAAACGAAGGAATACACTTCTCCAATAACAAAGGCTTATGGGACAGCCGTATCAGTCTGTCATAACAATTTTGTCAATAGCCATATACTGTGTCTGTGCCTTCTGTTGTGCTGTTTCATGCATGTCACAGACTCATATTCATATTCCACTAGTACTGACCTGAGATCAGACACCCAGACACCCTTTGTTAACGTCCTTTTGAGAAAGTTCATATGCATGTGTGTGACAGACCCTGTCAGTCCACCAGTGTGTCTCAGAGCTGTTCATCCCATCTCTGCAGGTCAGTAGAACGGGTGGTGCTCCACGCGTCTCCACATTCTTCTTGAAGGGGCTATTTGCAAGTTTACTCTGTCGCCAAACAAGCTTTCTTGCTGGGAGCAGGTGGTGGTGATTGGCACTTGACAAGAGCTTCAGCCATCACTGTCTTTGTGATACAAGAGGTTATAATAAATCCTCTGAGCAGTGCCACATCTTCAGGGCCAATTGGAGGATTGGAACGGGCGGGACTAGCAGCATGCTAACGTCAGTAGAAGAAACATTACAACATAGTGTTAACATTGGCGTTCCTTTCCAGGTAAGTTTGATACTGAACGTGCAACGTTTCTTCTAGACTGGTGAGTAAGCAGCTGTTTATGCTGCAATACCAAAAAAAAATAAAATAAAAAATGTTCTTGTCAGTGCCTCTCCCACTGGTTTGTGGAGGATACTGGTTTGGCTTATTGGTGTAAGCGCAGGCCTTGTTACACAGCAGATTTCCTGGTGTGTGTCTGGATAGTCAGGTCTCCTACAGACACTGAATTAACTCAGATATGGAACTAATTTAAACAAGACAGCAGTCCCATGCATGTACAGACTAGTTTGTACTTTTTTAAAGTGTTTGCCAGAGTAAACTAGCTTTTATACTGTACATGCTGTGACAAGACTATTAGAAAGCACTGAATATACTGAAAAAGTGCTTTGGACAAAGCTGTCAGCTATGTCTTTTTTCTCTGTGTGAATCTGAGCGCTTCCTAATGTATTGTCACATCAGTGAAATGCGAGCAGGCAGCTGAGGCCTGGGGACAATTAATGGGATAAGAAGACAGAGTCAAAGGCCCAGTACATTCACCTGGAGGTGCGGATGAGTCCTGTAGAGCGAGTGGAAAGACAGTACACTACAGCAGACATCTCTCAGTATCAGTGGCACAGCTACAGTATCCACTACTCTAAGATAATGTGTTACTAATATATTACTGCCACACTCGTCAACAGGAACTGTTGGAAAACTGTGGAAAAATCTTCCCAAACGGATCAGGATGAACACAAAGAGAGCAGAAACGGAGACACTGAATGCAGAAAAATCAGTTTTGCCCACAACAGCACGAACCTGAAGAACTGATGTTGAGAAATAGTTCCTGACCAAAACGCTGTGAGGTGTCATTTGGTATTGGTGAAATGGAGTACTGTATATGTGTGAACTATTTGGATGAAAAACTTATGAGAGACTTGAAAACTTGCGGCTACTGCAGTATATAAGTCATAAGGTTTTTGAAATGCAACATAAAACAATACACCAAACTCAACTTGAACCTCAGCATAACACAACTAATCCATCAAGTGGCCAATAACAGGTACCAGGCAATATCGTCTAACACCACTAAACCCAACTCTAAACTGTACAAGCACAGTGTACTCCTAGGAGGGTGCTTCGGTGCGGAGGCTGTGAAGTGAAAAACACTTTTTGAAGTTGAAGTAAAGAACAAAAGAGTGGAGGTAAGAATAACGGAAAGAAAAAAACAGGCTGTGAGGCCAGAGAAAGAGAGGGAGAGGCACAGAGGGCAAAGAGACAAAGGAGGTAAAATGAGAGGAGGCAGTGATGTGGAGCCGCTCGGAGCAATAGTCAGGTTTTAGAAATTGAAAGAGGACCTTTGCAGTTTCCAGGAAAAAAACATTCCAATTTCAAACATTAATAGGATCTTCAGTCTGAAACTGTTGTATTTGCTTTTTACTCCACTCTTAAAAAGCACATTCATTCTCCTTAAAGTGGAGGTCTCTTGGGTCTCATATGACGCACTTCAAAGATACTCCAGGATTAAGTGACTGTTTTGAACTTTTTTTTACCAATACCAGAAAAAATACATAAAGGGATTCTGCAGTTGAGACTTCCATCTTAGCCACTGAACCACTAGTTTTCATAGTTCGTATTGTAGAGTTTTTTTTTTTCTCAGCTCAGTTTGAAAAGCTAACGACATGTTAATGGGCTTCTCTGTCCAGTTGGACAGGAATCTTCCTCCTTACTGACTCCTTATTTAAATAAATAAAAAAATAAAACAACCATAAGTTACTTTCTTTTATCTTGTTGGCCACCTATTACTACAGCTCATGTGAGGCTGTGAAAGTGCTTCTGTGTCTCGGGGTATATATTCAGCATTCCTGTCATGTCTCACATTTCACCCATTACAGGTTGTTTACAAGGGCCGAGCAGCAAAAGCAGCACGTCAGCAGCACGACAGCAGCAGCAGTCTGTCCTCACTGGATGTGTTCAGCCACAACACTGCTGGGCACTAAAAGGCATTTTGACAGAGCTCACAGCCCAATACAAAATCATCATCAAAAGGGATGCAGGGAGGAGGGGGGGGGGGCAGTCTTGAGGGCTACTTTGCAATATCACATTTAAAGTGTAAGTGGGTCAAGATATAAAAACACTTGATTCTTCATTTCCTATGTTATACTTTCCCTTATTAGGCCTCATATATGCCCACTTCAGTCAAACGTCATACCTCCAGTTTTTTGGTGATGACTTTTTTCTTTAATTCTCAAAGCAAAGCCAAAGAAAAAAAAACATCCCCAGGCTGAATAGTACTTCTCATGACAAGTAAACTGAACTTAATGTATAAATTGGGCGGAGTTCCCTTGACAATATCTTTTACAACCCCTCTCTCGTAGTTATGAAGTTAAAATCGCATACAGACAGGGGAAATAAACACTATCTCATACTCGGGGTTGCGTAATAAAAGCAAAAGCCCTGTGGAACACCCTTCGTGGCTTAATGGCTGTTCCTGACTGCTCTCCTACCAAGGTGGTGATGACACTGGCACTGAAGACTGTCTGTCTCGTATTAAGATGAGAAACACAAGAGCAGCATGATGAAAGCTACCTTGCAGAAGTCGCTGGAGTGGCTGCCAAAAGTTTTGTTCTGCCATCATCATCTTTTCTATGTCCACTAAAATTAAAGAAAATGATAAAGTGAAGGTCTGAAACAACTTGTTTGTATAAACCAGGACTGATGTTCAACTCACTACAAAGGAACAAGAAGTGCAGCTCACGTTCAGTCAGACACTCACTCATCGTTAAATTGAAACCATTATTGTGAAAATCTTGTAAATTGCAGGGATCACTGACCCCTCCAAGAGCAACCATTAGAGCTCAGTAGTTGCCTGTGAGTAGTATATGAAAAAGATAACGATATGTGATAGGACTACAGAAACATCACATCACAAGTATGTTGATTGATGAGTCCAGAGAGGAGGTGGTGGTGGTGCTGGTGGAGAGCAGGCAGCACCACCACTTGACAGCATGATGTGGCAGGCAGCCACTGCAGGGATTAATGAGGAGCTGACAACTTTAATGGACTGTGAAGGCTAAAGTGACAAACACAGTTGGTGTTGGTTTGGTGTAGCTGACAATCAGCCAGTGACTTACTGTGTGTGTCTAACGCTTTATTTTAGAAAAGTGTCACTTGTTTATTCGAAGCATCTCTACAGACGTTGTGGCGGACTCAGCTCCAACAACTTGACCCCCTAATAAAACGTGTACGCGTGTACACATTTAAATGATGTAGCTCACCTGAATGAATGGGAACAGGAGGCCCACGGCAAAGTTGGACAGCCAATTCACGGTGCCAGCGATCATGAAGGCGGCAGGTCGGTAGGACTGTTCAAACAGTTCCCCGGTCAGGACGAAGGGGATGCCACCTGACAGAAGAGAAAAGAGAGACGCCGAGTTACAACAAACTACATGCAGCAAGCAACAGAAACACACAGCTTTGCTCTGAGCGGCATCCTGAGCTTACAAACTTTATAAAGTGGAAACACTTGATGTTTGCTCTCACTACAGGATCAACTTTTGTTTAATTCAGGCACAATCACAGTTGATTCCTTTTAAGGTGACGGCCCCCTTGTTGAAAGTCAGCAGCTCATCTGGCTCAGTGTGTAATGTGCAACCAATGTTACCGAACCGGCAACAGCAGATGTTGACATTAGGAGGCTTTGGTGGTTTCAAACTTGGAGGCTGAAATCTAAACAGCTGGCACACTGACTTCAAATGTAAAAGGCAGCGATCCATCCTGACTGACTACTGCCAACTCAGTAGAGAGTACGGATGCTGCTGCTACAGAGTTTGTCTTATATTGCTGTCTAGTTAAAAAAAAAAAAAAAGGTGGATTATGTCCCATCTTCCCAGTAAATCTGCATATAGACATTTATTTTTTACAATAACCTCATTATTTCACAACATATAAATACAGGAGCCATGTCTCAACTCAACACAGGACATACACAATTTAACAGTCCAGGTTATTGTTGTTTGACTTATATGACAAATGCCACTGACAATAGACAATAGAGCTTATAAAGGTTCAGAGACACTTTACTTCACCATCAGTGCAGAGGAAACAATATTCTAAGCCAATTCCGCCATTTCCTTTCAATCTCCAGCAGCAGTAATTATTGGAAAGCTTTTTAGAGGTCTGAGAGGAATGTGGAAGAGAGAAAAAAAAAATATTTTTTTTAAAGTAATATTTGAGATATCATGGCACTGTTGCTCAACCGGAGAGTGTGTTTTCAGGATTAGTGACTGGGTGTTTTTTTGTTTGTTTTTTCCTTCAGTGATACATGTTATGTTCAATGAATGAGATTTGTTTTTCCCCCAACACATTGTTTGTACAAATGATTCAATTAGAGGAGAGTTTCCCACCCAGCCAAAAGCTGTTTGTATGCTCAGTCAGCCAACACTGTTAATGCAAAAAACAAAAAAAGAAAAAAGAAAAAAGAAACTTTTACATCAAAAACCTTGACTGCTCAATTTACTGTCTTTGCTGCTTGTCGATTTCTTTTCCTGGAGATTTTAGATCAAAACAACATGAGCAGCAGTTAATAGACACACTGAATGTCAAGTCATATTCACCACTGACTGTGTCCTTCTGTCCAAAAAGCACATTCACTATTTTTTCATTCATGATATGTGACATTGGTTTAATGATGACGTTGTCTGTGAGAAATTACACAAAAAAAAGTCAACATCTCCCAACAGTGCAGTAGAAAACGATGTGGGCTGAAGCTACTGTACAGCTCACTGACATGTTTAATGGTGTGAAAGAAACATTTTTGGTCTATTGAAATGAGAGAGTGTTTTCTCCCAGCCCAAAGAAAGAAAAATCAATCCCTGTCGCAGGGACGAGGCACATCCTTGTTAGAGATTAATAGCCAGCTTTAATGACCTGAGCGGAAAAAACCCCCACTGAATTAGACTTGTGTTGTCTAACAACACAGGTCTGACTCTGTTTGTGCTGAAACAAATGCAGTTACAGTCTTTGTCCAAAACACACCCTGTAGACAGGATCTGCAAAAGTCTCTGCCCCCTTGTTTGTGGATGCAGGAGAAATGCCACTGTTGAAAATGTAATGGACAGTGACATTTTCATCCATATTTCATCAAGTGTGAGCCAACAGGCATTCTTGCATGAACCCCTGCTGCAGACAATAAGCGAGAAAAAGCTGCCAACGCGATGGAACCAGATTCTCCAGTTTGGAGTTGTGGGGACAGATGGAGGTTGCAGTGATGTGTGGAGGGTGTGTGTATATTGTGCAGCCGTGTAAAGAAAACATGATTACGGGTCTATAATGTAATACATGTGAACTTAAACATGTGACTGATTACGATGTTCATTTCAAAGTCTGAATGCACACATGAACAGAGATATTTCAGAAACGCAATCACACAACAAGATAAAGAGATGAAGAGACACAAAGAGAACCAAAGAAACATTATCATTCACAGCCACACACTTTTGATAATATCATTATTAGTAATGTCTTATCTAGACTATGTGTTATCTTTATGCTTTTGAATGAGCTGTGGCTAAACAGAATATTGGTATAGGTGTGTGGATAGTGTTCAGTGTACAGGGCGAGACATGCTGTGAAATGGTGTATGTAAGCAGTTTCAGGGAGCTTGCTACACATGTAGGGTAGGCACATGCATTTGTGTGTAGGCTGTTTTGCTATATATATATATATATATATATATATACATATATATATATATATATATATATATATATATACATATATATATATATATTCACAGCCACACACAGAGCCCCAGAAAAAAGCTCCCCCAAACACCATCTTATAGTTACAGTTTATAAATGACTTCAGACAGTAGTTGTGTAATATTATGTACTTCAAAGTGGGCGGTAAAGCATCTTTTACCAGCTGAAAGAACAACAAAAGCATCAAATTAGGTTACGGAACTACATACTGTATTCCTCTAAATCTGTGGATGTTACATTTTATCCTCAGAGTGGGCTGTTGGTTGTCTCTGAGAAGACACTTAATGAGCTACAAACCATTTAGAGCTGAATAAAGGGAGGAATGGCTCACATTAGCCCCCAGCATCCTCTTAGATTTAATTGTTTCTGATAATAAACCATCCTATTATTTGAATAAGCTGCCTTGCTGTTTAACAAATGTAGCCAGCTGATTAAAAGTGACTCTGTGGGTGTGTTTGTGCATGCACAGTGTTGGCCAGATTGCACACAGCAATCATGTGCATATGAGAGACCAGTCATCAGCCAAAACTTTTAAATCAAATTAATGGCCATTGACAAGAAGTGCAGGTGCTCGGGCTCCCCTGAGAGAGCATCCTCAGTAAGGAGAGAAATGCCAAAAAGCTCTTGAACATTTCTGAAAACCACAGTGAAATGCCAAAGCAATATGAAAATGTCCAATCTCTTCTTTTTTCTCCTCTTTCGGTTTGTACACAACAAAATTGTGTTTTAAAACCATCATCTAGTGAGGAATAGTATGGGCACAGCCTGGTTACTGCAGCTCCTCAGGAGCACTTGAACTGTGCTCCACTACAGCTGAACTCCCTCACTCTCTTTCTCCATACCAATCTCCCCACCTCCCCCATCTCCCTTATCCTTCCTGACAACCCCCTACCCTCATTCCTATCCCTTTACCCCCTGCTGCTGCATAAACATGCATGTAATTATGAATTTGTTTAAAAGAGCATCAGATTGTTATGATGTTTCTGTACTTTGGGCTCAATTCCAGGTTCACATTACATACATTACTTACAATACAATAATATTAGTCTTTACTTTTTTTGAACCAATTGATTTCAGAGTTAGGAAAAGTATAACATTTTATATTTCTTTTTACACTCCATTCAATCATGTTCATTGATGTATTCAGTAATATTTTTGACATTTTGTCAGTTTTGGGGCTCCTTCAAACACAGCCATGTTTGTTTTAATCTGACAGAGGGAGTTGTCTGTTTAAGATTTAACAAGTTGTGTAAAAACATAAATATATAGTATATTTTTTTCATTTTTCCTCTGATGACATACATTAAGGTAGCCTCACTTAATGCGAATGTGGATTAAACAATCTTATTAAAGGATCTTATTGCTCTGCAAAAAGAGGGGGTGCAATATGTCTCATTGCATGATGGTTAAGTTCTTGCTGATAAAGATGAGAGATATGCGTCATATTAAATATATTTAAATTGGAAGAAAGGTAAATAATATTGTTAAACATATACAACCCTCCATCATGGACCAGCAGTAATGGTCAAAATAGCACTGATTACCTCTGAGGCAAAAGGGATAACAAAAAATGGTGGAGATCTAAATCTGATTATACAACCCTGTCACCTAGAAATTAATAATCTGCTACAGAAAATACATTTTGTAGGAAACATAATTGCGCCTGGATTATGTTCTCTATTAATGTAATGAGGAAATGTTGGTTATGTATTTTATTCAACAAGTAAATATGTGGATACTGAACGCATCAGTAAAATTTTCACAGACAACCTATTTGTTTTAAACCAAAATATCTGATTTTATCTAATCACACTTTTTTATGGTTATGTGCAGGCACTCCCAGCACTTGGTTAAGGTGAGGAAAAGACTGTGGTCTGGTTTAATACAGAACAAGTTGACAGGTCCGACCAAGGTCTGAGCTTGCTAGGGGGGTTTGAGGGCATGGTACACAAAAAAACTTTGTCAGTGGAAATTATAGAAAAGTGTCTCACACATTACGGCAACATAAGAAAAATACAATAATATCATTATACAATAAGACTACTGTATATTATGACAATACAGTTACGCTAGGTTTCTGTTGTTGTTAAACAGAGTCTATAGCTTCCACTGTAATTGCCAAAGAACATGCTGTATATCTCTGTGGTAATTAGGACTACATTGTTTGAATATGATCAGGTCAGTTGGTTTTTGTGTTCAACGGCACGGGGACATAATGCTAATCCTATTCTGGGCACTGCAAAAACTCAGCTCTCAAAAACAAGAAAAACAGCAATATAATGGGGGAAATATTACTTAAAATAAGTAAAAATGATCTGCCAAGAAAACAGGAAAGTAGAAATAAGCTTGAAACAAGCGAAATGCTCTGCCATAAAAAACTGCCTGGAGAGGAGAAATATCTTGTCAGACAAAAACAAGCATGTATGGCTTTGATTTAAGATGTTACATCTTACTTAGATTTCACTTTTTTCTGTGTACCTGTTCTCCCCCTCTCATCTCCATCACCTTCTCTCTGTCTTTATCTCCTCATCTCAAACTGAATTAAAAGAAAAGCATTTCCACTTTAACTGAAAGTTTATCAGTCTGATATGGATGGAATTAATGTTAGATAGCTAGTTAATTCACTCAAGTGAAACTAACTAGC